AGAGCCATCTCCTTAGTAGCCCTCTTTAGCACCTCCCCCTGCCTTTTATGGGGAGGTGGGGGTGCTGAACACAGGCTCTTGCTCATGCTAAGTGGGTAATATAGCACTGAGTCATACTCCAGCTCCAAGAGGCACTTTTGTGAAACACCTTACTGAAGCTGGAGGAATGGAGACTGGGTGAGCATCAAATGATTTGGCCACCTCCACCGACTATTCTCTCCTGCTTTTGTCCCCCTTTCCTCTGCCAGGCATGCTTACTTCTGGACGGCAAAATGAGGACAGTAGTGACACAATCACCTAGAAGCTGCTTTAGCCTAAAGAAAATGCATGGAGTCTCTCTCCAGGGCCCGCAGACTAAGTCAAATAAAGAGGAAAGCCCTATCGAGCGAGGCCTTTGCCTTCACTTGGTCTGTTTCACTAAAGGCTCAGAGATAAGCTACCTCCTAAATTCTTCCTCTTGAGTCATCTGAAGTTCCAGGAAGAGTGAAACCTTCCGGGACAGACACATTCACACACACCCCAGCCCCCAGCCCCACCCCCAACCCCCTACCCTCCCCACCCCCACCACAATGAGGACAATTATCCATAGCTGTACACTTAGAGACTAACAGACTACCAGCTGACCAGGCCAACTGACAGGACCACAGCAGAGGCAAGAATGAGTCAACAGCATCCTGGAGCAGGACACTGAACACAACAGTGACCAGGACTGCTTCATTACGTATGCATTGTACTCTCTATGTAAACCTAAACCTCAGGTCAGTGCCCTAAAGACAAGCTTGGGGTCTGTCTTGACGTGTCCCTCTTCCCCATGTGGCCCTCCTTTATTTTACCATTACTGAACTTTTTCATTGGCATATCTGGATGGGTGTCCAAGCCTACAGAGAGGATCGGGTAAGCTTACAGGTGAGGTGCAGAGGCTCAGTCCAGCAAGAGTATGCTACCCTCAGGCTCGACCATCTAGCTACATCCAACCAGGGAGACAGGGAAGGTTCCCGTGAGGGAGGATAGGGAATGATGCTAAATGAAAGCCAATGGCTAGGGACCAAAGAAAGGATGTGGCTTGGGAACAGGGGCCTCCAGCAGGAAAGAAATGCAACACCCCGTCCCAGCTCTGCATGGTTGCTTGCATTTTGTAGCAGGGCACATCAAGGATTACCTGGAGCTAGTCATTGCCCTCCCTTCAGATTCTCCACTCTCGACCCCTCAGGACCCTCCCATCACTTTACCCTGAACCTTCGGCTTTCTGAATATTTTAAACTAAGGTTACACACACACACACACACACACACACACACACACAAGCACGCACGCACGCACAACTCTCTGATCTCAATTCATAGTTGCTAAGGATTCCCTTGAACTTCTGAACCTTCCTCCTCCTCGGCCCCCAAGGGAAGCGCTGGGACCACAGGTGTGTGCCATCACCACAGGATGTGTTTCTTCCAAATGCTAGGCAGGAACACTACCCACTGGACTACACTCCCAGTCCCAGACTCTCCAATTCCAACGTGCAAATTTAATTAGATCATTAGTTGATAGGATTCACTCAAGACACCTCCCAGGGGGCGCATGCAAATTAACTGCTCCCCAAGGAGTCCCTCAGGAGCTCCCTAACATCTCTCCTCCCCCACCCTTGGCCTGACAAAAGAATGGATTCTTTCATTTGTTTTTCTTCTTCCTTCATTTAGGTTTTGGGGTTCTGCTTTATTTTTGGACTGGAGTAAACAGTCAGGCAGCTGAATATAATAGCTCTGAGGACTCATGCCTACAGTGCAGTTTTCTAGAACTGGTTTAACACTCGGAGGATCTTCCCACACAATGGGCATCTTCTGTGAGTGCTGGGAACTGAGGACAAACTACATAGCCCACAGGGAACAGAGGAAGCCTGGGGTGGGGGTGGGGGTGGGGGTGGGGGTGGGGGAGGTGTGTCTCGAAAGAGACTGGGAACAATAAGAACTTTCTCAACTTCTTCCCAGTTAGTAGCTATGGAGGCCTGGCTCAACCCTAGAAGCCATCAGCTCCTGGAGGCCAAAGCTAAATGACCATTACAATTTGCCACAAGGATAATCAGTGCCTGGAAAGAAAAAAAAAAAAAAGGCTTTCCTATCTAACCATATCTAAATAAACTTGGCAATTCCCACTCTGAAAAACAGGCACTCTCCCACATCCAGAAGACTGGGGGAGGAGGATGGTAAAGAGAAAACCGCACAGGACTCTTAGCTAATTCTGCACTTCTGGGCAGACATCTGCAGAAGCATGTCACAGGGAAAGGTGCCATGCTTTGAAAATCCAGGCCTGGCCACAACTGCAGAGTTGTCTAAAGAATGGCACATTTCACAAGAGCACTGAGGCTAATTGCTCAGGGCTCGCAAACATTTCACAATTTGCCATTACCTTGGAAGCACCTGGATTTTGGTTTGCCTCATGAAATTGGCCAAATGGCAGCTTTTGCTGGGGCAGAATTCATTAGCGCCCTCGTAAGTACTCCTGTTATAGGGGATGTTTTAATGGGGCTTCCGTATTTAAAGCACATACTTCTTTTCTGACTTTGACAAATTATGTTCTAAGCACCCAGTTAATTACAGGCCACGGAGGCTGAAGACATACTGATGCTACTCTGCAGATATTCTCAGCAGGGATTTCCATGAGTCATTCTTTCTTCATTCACTATTTCTATGTTGACTTATTAGTGTTTATGTATTCTATCATTACTTTATTTCCATGCTTTTAGACTGTTGTATTATTCTCTAGGTATTTTGTTGGCAATTATCTGAAAGCAACTATTTGGTGCTTAACTGTGCATGGACTCAATTAGTTTATAACTCAAATATTTATTCCTTGTTTACTGAATTATAACTAATTAATTCACTAATAGCCCAGCACCACAGCCTTCCCTAGGGTTATAACTAATACGTTTCACACACCCCCCTCGCCTTACCCATATTAGAGAAGTGGGGGGGGGGGGCACTATCAGAGATGGCGTCCTGCTCTTCTACCTAGAAATGGCTATTGCCTACTAGGTTGATAGGCAATGGGACTGAAGTCAGCTCAGACATTGCCACTAACAGGGTACAAGCCATTGGTCAAACTCTTTAGATGACTGCAAAATCCCACAATTAAAAACAGAAAATGAAGGAAATTGTGCCTCCTGTTTCAGCAAATGTCACTCCTGTGTCCTCCTATTCCTATGTTCCCGAAAGATGCAGTTTTTAATACGCACGTGGAGGACAGCTGTCTATTGGTAGCAAGATCCCGCCTTTTAACACGGGACCTTCCCCTCTGGCAATGTATAAGACAAGGCAGGTCTCCCTTCCTGCAGTTTACTAAGGAATGCCCGATGATGTTTATCCCAGAAGACGGAGATTGCATAAAGGATAGGCAAATGTTGGGCCACACGACCTTCCCAATCCTGGGCTCCACACTCACCTCTGAGCTGAGTGGGAGCACTATCTATGTTCTTTTCTCTAGCATCTGCTCTTTGAATAACAGGTTTGATCTACTAGGACCCCACCCCATCTTTTAACTCAGCCAAAGAACACTCTGCTGCAACTAATTCAACAGTGCTGGAATCTGCCAGCCAAAGGAAAGCAAATATTCAGAAAGTGCCACCTGCCAGTTCCCCCCCAAACAGCACTCAGTACAGTTTGCATTTTTGCCAGCAAACCGCCCCCCCACCCACCCACCCAGCCCACGCCTTCCTAAAGGATGCAATGTGATACTATCAAATGAATGTTCTCAAGAGATTGAAAATTCACAGCATGGCTTCTGGGCAAGAACCAGATAAGGTGTCTGCTTGTTGAACTTCAGGCTATCACCACTTTAAGACGTTCCCTGGTTTTCCCGGAATGCCAACTGAGCATCTCATACATCTGAAAGATTTAGAAAACGCAGCTGATTTTATAGCCAAAATACATGGCATACATACTTAAAAATCCTGTTATAGGTAAATGTGCCTTTTATTATAGATTTTAAAGCACAGAGAGAAATCTTCAACCTAGGAAAATAGGATACACGGAACTTCAAGGAGTCCAGAAAGATGAGAGACAGGCTCTAGTATGGGAAAAAAAATACAAACAGAGCTGTAGTCATTGAACATCTACTATTCATCAGGCGGTATGTTGAGCACTTCATACACATCGACCTCTCATAAAATCCAAGATGCAAGACCTCTTACCCTGTTTTTCAAGTGACGCCATGAAGAATCAGAGGAGTGAATGACCTGACCAAGATAATTGCTGGCAGCCAGTTGGAGAGCAGGGATTTGAACCAGGCTAACACCTTTCCACTTTGGTAAAAACTACAGAGAGACGCTGCTAAAACACCTACTCCTGTGAGAAAAGGAGTACCTCAGACTAAATGTTGCGGATGAACTACACATCTGGCAATCTGAAATCTTCACATGGGCTAAGAAGTCTGTTTACAAAAACCCTATTCATCCAACCTGCCACTCAACTTCGTCCGCCACGAACTACTTTCCAGAATTAAGGCAATCCACGGGCGGTTTAAGTCACTGAACAATTCAAAAAGTCTTACCAACACACTCCGCAATACACGTCCTATTGTTTCCAGTCCTGAACAAATAAAACAAATATCCAGTACCAACTGGAGAAGCTGCGGGCCGAGCAAGTAAACACTGTGGTAGTTCTGCATAAGGAAATGGTTGTTTTCCTCTCGTGGGCACAACGACAAGTCCCGTGCGGATAAACATCAGTGCCGTGAGGCCACGAGGAGTCCACCCGCCAAATATTTACAAGTAGTATTGACATATACTCTGTCTGGCTTTTTCCTCTCCAACTTTTCTAAGCAGGTGTCCTTGATAACAGTCATTGTTCAAAAGGAGCCTATGATGTGACCGGTGCGTGGTTATTTATTTAATTTTGTTTTTAAATTACAGTTTGAGGCCCTATGCCGAGAAAAAGGGAAAAAAGAAAGGGTCCCCCAACGGAAGGGCGAGGGGCGACCCTCGCTTCCCGCGCACGCCTCCCCAGGTAGCTCACCAGGATGCCCATTACGTCTGTCCAGAGCCGGGAGAACGCTTCGGACGTGCCGGCCTCCGGCTCAGTCTCCTGCATGGGTTCCACCTTGGGCTCGGGCTCGGGCTCGGGCTCCGGTGCCGGGCTAGCAGCTGCCGAGTCCTCCTCCATGACCGCGTCCCCGTGCGTCCGGGCCCCCGCGCTACCCACAGCCCGCAGCAGCGCGTCGGCTGCCGGGGCGCAAGGTCCCCGCCCGCGGCGTCACCGGGCCGCGCCCCCGCGTCGCATGCCCCAGGCTCCGCGGGGTAAGAGCCCAACTACCAGGACTCTGCACCTCGATTCCCGGTGACCGCGATTGACAACTCCAGAAACTTTTCCTAGCCGGGCGGGGCGCAGCAACAGGGTAGCTGGAGCAGAGTCGGCACCACTAGCTGCGGCGGCGGGGAGCTCGCAGGGCGAGGGAGTCAGGAGCCCCACGGCACAGGAACTGTGTCCGGCTGTGGGGACCGGCTCCGGGCGGCACACGACTCGCCTCTACTGGAGAGTCTGCGCAGGGCCGGACAGTGCACAGTGGCGCCAGTGAACCCGGGTTAGCCAGTCCCCGACCCCTCTTTTCAGAATGAGCTCTTCCAACTCCACATGACTCCCTCCCCTCCAGGCTCAAGAAAGCGTTTAGCAACAAAAGGTGCTCTGATGTCAGGCGCTTTGCATGGAAATGAGCCCCAGCCCAGCCAACGAATCGCCTGTTGAAAGCGCAGCCGCGCCGCGGGCCCCGGACCCCGCACCAGTCCCCAATCGCGCCATTCACCCCGCGCCTTCCGCGACAGAAACAGCAGAAGGTTAATCTTTAAGCTGCTGGCTGCGCCCAAGTTCCCGAGGGGTTAGCACGGTGACAACCCACACCTCGCCCTCGGCAAGTCGAACAGCCCAGGCAATTATAGCCCTGTCTGTCGGCCCAGGCTTCTTGGAAAACAAAGTGTGACAAAGCTAGCCTGGGCACGAGCCATTGTTTAGGTTCTTGGATGACTGGGGACTTTTTGGCTCCTGAGTGGCCGCGGTGCTGTGCAATTACAGGGTTTTCGGGCAATTAAGGGAGACCCTCTTTGGGTTGTAAGGATTTTTGTTTGCTTGCTTGTTTTTTTGTTGTTTTGTTTTTACCACGAAAGGGTTTTGTTTTGTTTTTACGTGAAAGACACAGGCAATGGGTAGGGACAAAACTAAAAGTTAATTTTATGGCCGTTCAGCCCATGCACACTCCAGCCCTGTGTATGTTTTGCCAAGAGAAATTTTTCCCTGAGGGAAAAAGCCCTGAAGAGTTTTGTTTTGTTTTTTTCTTGTCTCCCTCCCTCCCTCCCTCCCTCCCTCCTCCTCCTCCTCTTCTTCTTGTTCTCCTCATTCTCCTTTTCCTCCTCCTCTTCTTGTTCTCATTCTTCTTTTCCTCCTCCTCCTCCTCCTCCTCCTCTTCCTCCTCCCTTTCTCCTTCTTCCTCCCTCTCCCTTCACTACTCAGAAAATTTTTCCTAAAAGATAACAATTTGATTTTGTGACTTATGGCTTTGTAAAGAAACCCAGTGAAATCTGTCCCTTATTATTAAAAACTTGGGTTAAAGTTTGGGGTGGGCAGGGGAGATGGTGTGAGGGATGCCAGGGACAGAACAATTCTGAGGTTTCTCCTTTTCTTTCTTAGCTTACCTACGAGGAAGGAGTTAAGTGTGTCCTCTGCATCCACTTGGCACTGAGAACACCAATCTGTGCAATGGGTAAATAACTCTCACTGACAAGCTCAAACCCCAAAAAGAAAGAAGCTGGCAGGATAGATGGGGGGGGGGGTTAAAGTGTTTACTTTAAAAGCCTGATGACCTGATTTCAAATCCCCAGAATCAAGTAAAAACCTAGAGTAGCAGTATGGGCCTATAATCCCAGGGCTAGGGTGTAGAGACAGCAGGATTCTTGTGGCTTTGGTGGTCAGCAAGTCCAGACAGCTGGTAAGTTCCAGGTTCAGTGAGAGACCATGTGTCAAAAAGGTACGGTGGTGAGTGGCAGAGAAAGACGCCTGATATCACTCCCTGACTTCCACAGGTGTGTGTGTGAGTGTACACACTCATACACTCGTGCACACACACAGATTTTAGTTCCCTTCTCCCCAATTTTTTGTGTGTTTTAACTAAAGAAGAGCCTTAGACCCCAAATCAACGTAGCCAGGCCAGATGTTTCTCTGGGCTGGTGCAGTTAAGCCAGATGGTTCCAGGTTTCTCTGGTGCTGTTTGACGATAAGAGCTAAAACAAACTCCACTAAGAAATGTGAGTTTTGCCAGGCGTTGGTGGCACACGCCTTTAATCCCAACACTCAGGAGGCAAAGGTAGGTGGATCTCTGTGAGTTCGAGACCAGCCTGGTCTACAAGAGCTAGTTCCAGGACAGCCTCCAAAGCCACAAAGAAACCCTGTCTCAAAAAAAAAAAAAAAAAAAAGACAGAAAAGAAATGTGAGTTTTAAATGAATTGGTCTTGTGGGACAGTGGTAGCGCACACCTTTAATCCCAGTACTCAGCAGGCAGAGGTAAGCAGATCTCTGGGAGTTTGAGGCCAGCCTGGTATAGAGAGCAAGTTCCAGGATAGGCTCCAAAAGCTGCACAGAGAAAAAAAAAAGGTCTTGTCTACAAAGTCATCAAAATAAACAAATGGTGAGAAGAGGAAAGCAGCCTTCACCCTTGACTTTATGAGTATACTTAAAATGTTTTGACTTGAGGAAACATAGAACCCTATGCAGCCTGTTTGCTACACAGAAACCTGGCAAGTGAGTTATGGAAGCAGGAGTGGGCTCTAGGACAAAAAGGGAGCCTATCTCAGAGACCAATCAGGAGTCTTTCTCTTCTTGACTCAGACATCCTGGGGCCAAACATAGAACTTTAAACGCTGTAGTTTCCCTATCTAAGAGGAGGCAAGGCCAAGCTAATTGCCACCCACCACTTCAGAGGCTGGTATGTTTCTGGGTCACCTGAAGATAGCAAGGTTGTGCTGTAACACATAAGGTACATCAGCATACATTAGCTGGCATTTAGCCTTATCTACTCTTTCGTCTTCTCCACAGGAAGTTCCCTTTGCTGGCACTCCCTTAAACCTGTCTGAGGAAGTGAGGTAAACAACATTTTGGGGGAGGGCTGATACCTGTGTCTATAGTGACAAATCATGCCTTTGCCATCTTGCCTAGTGGCCACTCTACTTAGGAAACAGATAATTTTGATCATTTGCAAACAGAAGTGTGTGTGTGTGTGTGTGTGTGTGTGTGTGTGTGTGTGTGTGTGTGTGTGTGTGTGTGTGGTCTTTCTGTCTGTCTGTGTCTGTAATGGCTTAAACCTATACATCCCACACAGGCAGAAAGATCAGGAGTTTAAGACTGGCTTTGGCTATATGAAACCCCGTCTCAATAAATAGATAAAAAGTTGAATCTCTTTCCTAATCTGCTTCCATAGATTAACCAAAATATAACTGGTTATTGCCCTAAAATTGAGTCTTCTCTCCCACAAATTCCTTCTCAAGCTTTTTAACAATTCCTTTTCTCTTATCAAAGAATTGCCGTAATCCTCACCTTCATCTTCCATTTATATTGGTCTGTGTTTGATTCCCACAAACCTTGCCAAGATAAGGCAAGTATAGACTCTTGAGGGAGTACACTAAGGTCCTACCTCCTCCATATTTGCCTTTCTACCCAGGTGCTCGCTGGAACTCTGAAATCAACTCTGTTGGTCTCGATAAATGGTTTTATTTATTTGTTGACAGTATGTATCTGTGGTGGTTTGAAAAAGAATGGCTCCATAGGCTCACATATTTGAATGCCTACTCACCAGGGAGTGGTGCTATTTGAAAGGATTAGAAGGATTACTTCATTAGAGTAGGTGTGGCCTTGTTGGAGGAGTTTTGCCACTGGGGGTGGGCTTTGAGATTTCAAAAGCTCAAGCCAGGCCCAGTCTCTCTCTCTCTCTCTCTCTCTCTCTCTCTCTCTCTCTCTCTCTCTCTCTCTCTCTCTCTCTCTCTCTCTCTCTCTCTCTCTCCCCTCTCTCGTCTGCAGAGAACAGGGTGTTAGCTCTCAACTGCTGCTCCAGTGCCATGTCATGCTCCACACCTTGATGATAATGAACTAAGCCTCTGAAACGGTAAGCAAGCCCCAATTAAATGCTTTCTTACACAAGAGTGTTTATGGCTATGATATCTCTTCACAGCAACAGAACCTTGACTTAAGATAATAACCCAGGTTGACTTTGAGCTCACCAGTTAGCAAAGGACAGCCCTGACCTCTTGTCTCCGCCTGCCAAGTGCTAGGATTAGAGGCATGGGCCATTACACATTACAAGTGGTGTAATAAATACTTACTGCAACAAATGAGCAGAAAACTGTCAGAATATATTCCTTGAGAATATAGTCATCTCAGTAAGTCTCCTGGAAATCACTGACATTAGGAAATCGCTGACATATAACATGGGACTTTACACACATGTTTATGATGGGTTACTTTGTACTTGTTCTTCTTTTGATTATTTTGTTTGTTTTGTCTTTGTATATGTACCCTTGGCTGTCCTGGAACTCGCTCTATAGACCAGGCTGGCCTCAAACTCACAGAGATCCACCTGCCTCTGCCTCTGCCTCTGCCTCTGCCTCAGCACTGCCTCTGTACTTGTTCTTTCTCTGGGTCAGGATTACAAATTTTCAGGCCACTCCAGAAGTTGCAAAGCAGTTAGGATTCTAGATGCAGCCTGAGTAAGTCATTATAACCACACGAGAAAGGTAACTGGACTATTGTGTAGTGGTGAAAGTACAGTTTTACCAAGGAAAGCACAAATATTATCTTATCTTTTTTCCCCCTGCCCTGTAGCTGAGGACAGAACCAGGAAGTTGAACTTGGTAGCAAGTGCTCTACCACTGAGCTAAATCCCCAACCCAGAAAACACAAATGTTACTAATGAGACAAGCCAAAATCGGGTTTAAAAACATTTGGCAAATTATTTATCAACTGTGTACAAGGGAAATTCCGTCTGTTTTCATAGTTTTGAGGTTATTGGTACTTATGCAAGAATCTTTACATGGTAGAACCTTGACCCGTTTCCCAGCCCTTCCCCACCCACTCATCCTGTGAGGCTGGATGTGAGTTTCCTTGTTCATCATACCTGAAGATCTAGGGTCACAAGAAGTCCTTCCTGGAATGTGGTCCCTGAGTCATAAAGCTGAGAGATCACCTCTGGCCAGGTGTGGTCACCAGGACTCTACAGGCACCTTGTTAGTTTTCTCTGTTGATCTGGCTGTCTTGTTTTTGGTGTTGTTTGTTTGTTCACTTTTTTCTGTGCTGAAGATCAAGCCCTGTCTCTCACACTGATCTGTAGTCCCCATCCCTCCTCATTTTTCATAGTGAAGATAATAAAAATAGCAGTAAAGCAGCTAGTTGTTTACTTTCTCTTTGAAATTGTGCTTAAAATCAAAATATATTTCATAAACTTTGATGATTCTAAAATGGCACTTAGGATTCCGCTTCACCATCCAATACATCCACTCAGCTCTTTGTGTGTGTGTGTAATGGTCCGTGTGTGTGTGTGTGTGTGTGTGTGTGTGTGTGTGTATGTGTGTAGTGTGTATGTGTGTGTATGTGTGTGTGTGTTGTGTGCAGAGAGTGGGAAAGTTATACATATCTGTGAGTATACATTAGGACCATCATTTAGGAATTTGTTCTTTGTGTTGGTCTGGGATTATTTTTCCCTTTAGATAGGATCTCATTAAGCAGACTTCACTGGCTTAGAACTCACAGAGCTCCTTAAATTAACAGCGCTCCACCTACTTCTGCCTCCCAGTGCTGGTATGAAAGGACTGTACCATCATCGATATGTAGATTCCAGTACCCAGGAGATAGTGTTGTGGGCTTGTCTGACATTCTAGCAAACTCTGGCAAGTTAGAATGAGAAGACAGGTACACTGTTGAGGAACTGTGAGGTTTTAACAGACTGTATTTCAAAATTAGACCAGAAGCAGGGTGTAGTGTTGCATTCCCTTACGCCCAGCACTTGGGAGGCAGAGATAGGCAGATCTCTGAGTTTGAGGCCAGCCTGGTCTATAGAGTAAGTTCCAGGACTACACAGAAAAGCCCTGTTTCAAAAAATAAAAACAAAACCATTAGACCAGAGCCAGGCATTGTCCTCTAACTTCCGCAATGTTGTAAGTGTGTACCCACAAACAAATAAATATGAAACTTTAAAAATTCACTGATTTTGACTTCTTTTCCTATTTGTATCCCCTTTATCTCCTTTTGTTGTCTTATTGCTGTAGCTAGGACTTCAAGTAAAATATTGAAGAGATATGGAGAGAGTGGACAGCCTTGTCTTGTTCCTGATTTTAGAGGAATTGCTTTGAGTTTCTCTCCATTAAGTTTGATGTTAGCTGTTGGTTTACTGTATATTGCTTTTATTATATTCAGGTATGTTCCTGTTATCCCTGATCTCTCTAGGACCTTTATCATGAAGGAGTGCTGGATTTTGTCAAAGGCTTTTTCAGCATCTAATGAGATGATCATGTGGTTTTTCTTTCGCAGTTTGTTTATATGGTGGATTACATTGATAGATTTTCTAATGTTGAACCATCCCTGCATTCCTGGGATGAAGCCTACTTGATTATGGTGGATGATTTTTCTGATGTGTTCTTGAATCCGGTTTGCTAGTATTTTATTGAGTATTTTTGCATAGATGTTCATGAGGGAAATTGGTCTATAGTTGTCTTTCTTAGTTGTGTCTTTGTGTGGCTTGGGTATCAAGGTAATTGTAGCCTCGTAAAAAGAGTTTGGCAGTGAATCTCCTGCTTCTATTGTGTGGAATACTTTGAGGAGTATTGGAATTAGCTCTTCTTTGAATTTCTGGTAGAATTCTGCACTGAAGCCATCTGGGCCTGGGCTTTTTTTGTTTGGGAGACTTTTGATGACTGCTTCTATTTCATTAAGGGTTATAGGTATGTTTAGATTGTTTATCTGCTCTTGATTAAAGAAGCTATTAGGGATAAGTGAGCAGCTGTAGTTTTTTGCACACTTATAATCCCAGGACTTGAGAGGTGAAGACATGGGGACCAGAAGTTCTAGGCCAGCTTGGGCTTCATAAGACCCTGTTTGAAAAAAAAGTGGGGAGAGAAGAAAATAGAAGAAGGATCAGGAGAGAGGGAGAAGGGGAAAGGGAAAGAAGAAAATGGAATTGTTCATTTGAAGATATCCTTCAGGGGAGTTTGGCTGATTGATTGCTGGTGTTTTGCTGTGTTGTGATCTTTGGTTTGTTTTGTTTGTTTCGGGCAAGAAGCACAGTCTTATTATGCAGCCCAGGCTGACCTTAAACTCTTTGTTAGCTCAAGTTGGCCTCCAACTTGTAATCCTCCTGCCTTCCTCGGCTTCCCAAGTGCCAGGATCACACACTACTACACCTCGTATATTTGGTTTCAAAGGGAATACAGTTAAGTATTTATGCTAAAATAGACTCTGCAAGAATGGCACATGTTTGGGTGGGGTTAATTTAAATAGTTGTTTTGTTTTAAACAACACATTTCCTACTGATAGCATATATTAAATCTGAAAGGTTATAAATAGCCCACTGGATGCTTGGCATCGGAGTTGAGCAATGAAAACAGATAAGCCCATTTCATTTTTGTCACTCGTCAGCAGTGTCTCGTCTCTGGCACTCCCAAATGGGGCATTCCACAATGCCTGGGGGAACCAAATTCAGGGGGAGACTGACAGGGAAAAATATTTTTCTCCAGTAAAACTTTACAAAAAATTTTTTTCCTCACAAATGCCTGGAAGGTGATCCAAGCTCACGCAAAAGCAGTACTTGTTTTGTTTTTGTTCATTTTTTTTTGTAAATCCCCTTCATCAAGGAGTACTTGAGAAATATGAAAAATGATCTGAGAGCAAGGTAAAGGGAAATTTTTTAAAAAATGAAGACATGGGGGGGGGGATGGCTCAACAATTAAGAGCAATGCCTGCTCTTCCAGAGGTACTTACTGGTTTCATTCCTGGTGGGTATAAGCCTGGCAGGAATCACAGCCGTCTGTAACTCCAGTTCCAACAAATGGGGTTTGACACCTCTTCTGAGCTCCACAGGCACCAGGAATGCAAATGGTTCACAGACATACATGCAGGTAAAACACCCATACACATAAAATAATAATTGAACAGTGTTTTTAAGTGGATACTGCTAGAAGAGGCCAAGGGAGCAGATGAGTAACGCAAGAATGGAGGCTTTACATTCCTTCGGAATCTCTTCATTTTTCAATTTTATTCATTATTTATTTAGTGCGCATGTGTGTGCTCAGGAGCCCACGTGCTTGGAATGCATATGTATTACGGTGCCTGCAGAAACCAAAAGAGGGTGACAGATGCCCTAGTGCTGGATTATAAAAAGGTGGTTGTTAGCCTCCCCACATCCCTACTGGGAGCAACACTTGGGTCCTCTGCAAGGACAGCAAGTGCTCTTACCTCTGCGTCATCTCTTCAACCCCATCTGAAATCTCTTCTACTCTGATAAGCAACAATACTTCCCTGGCCAGTTACAAGTCTTCATTTATGACAGTGCTATGGAAATATCAAGATTCTGCCTACAAATTACTCTATGAGATACAACAGTAACATTACAGTTATTTCATTCCGTAACCTAAGATCACACACCTAGCTGTGTATGGTGGTGCTTGCTGGGATTAAAGGCATGAGATTGGGATTAAAGATCTGTGAGTTCCAGACCAGCTGGGCCATATAGTAAGGTCCAGGCCAGCTGGAGCTACGTAGTGAGAACCTGCTTAAAAAACAACAACAAAAATCATACTCCTGGGGCTGGAAAGATGGCTCAGCAGTTAAGAGTATGTACTGTTCTTGCAGATGACCTGGGTTCTGTTCACAGCACCCATGTTGCACAGCTCACAAGTACCTAGTGCTTTGTAACTCCAAGTGATTTGATGCCTCTGGCCTCTACAGGTACCTACACACCAGTACACATACCACACATAGACACACACACACACACAATTCAAAGTAAATATATTTTAAGTCACTTTATTTTGAAGTCAGGGACCCACTCTGCTCCTTGGACTAGCCTTAAGTACAGATCTTTCTGTCTCAGTGCCCCCAAGGACCAGAATGACAAATGTATGTCATCATGGCCAGGCAGCCTAGAAAATTCCTAAAGCCCTATGTAATCCTGAACTGTGAGATTCTGAACTGGCACATTATATAGAGTTATGTTTTGAATCTGCAATATGTCTGTACGGGCTCACTTAAACACTGCGTTCCCTGGTTGTGGCACTATTTTGAAGGCTGTGGATCCTTCAGAAAGAAGGTAGAGCTGGGCTGATGCAAACAGATTACTAGAAGCAGGTCTTTGGAGGTCATGCCCACTCCTGTTTCCTGCAGACAGTCGCTACATACTGCCTGCTGCCAAGTGAAGGGTGTCACACACTCCCACTGCCATCAGCTCCATCATGCTGTCCCTGCTACCGATATCAGGGGATCTGGTGGTCCATTTGGGTTCTCAATTTTATCAATAAAGAATTGTAAAATGGGCTGGGCGTTGGTGGTACACGCCTTTAATCCCAGCACTCGGGAGGCAGAGGCAGGCAGATCTCTGTGAGTTCAAGGCCAGCCTGGCCTACAGTGCTTGTTCCAGGACAGGCTTGAAAACAATACAGAGAAACCCTGTCTCAAAAAAAAAATTTGTAAAATGGATTCAGAAGGAAGCTCAAGAGTAGTTTCGTTGGAATTTGAGAGATAAACAGCAGGGCAGGCAGTCTGTAAATCTGGGCAGCTTTAGGGGTGCAGCTGGGGTGAAAGAAAAGTGAGAAAGTCATGCCTTCTGAGTTAAAGGTCAAGAAAGCGGGACTCGTCAGCTATGGAAGTCCGCAGGGGCTGCATTACAGAAGAGGTGGTGCTTCAGACAAAGAGGAAGAAAGGTCAGAATTTCCCAGAAAGCATACCTGGGCTTTTGGCCAGTATCCAAAACAGAGAATTTTCAGAAAAAGGAAAGGAAGAGCATGCTTAGTGCTAGACTACAGATCAGAGTTCAGAGAGCACCTGACTCCAGGATCTTGTATCCCAGAACAAGGGATTGCACCAGGGACACATGGGTGGGTAGATAGATAGAGAGATAGGTAGATAGAGAGAGAGATTAGATAAATGATTGATGGAAAAATGATAGATAGTTATAGATAGGTGATAGATTAATAGGTGAGAGACAGATGATAGATTATAGATTGACGGATGGATGATAGATTAATGGATGATAGTTAGATTATAGATTGATAGATGATAAAACAGTTACATAGAGATTGATAAATGAGAGGTAGATGATAGATAGATAGATAGATAGATAGATAGATAGATAGATAGATAGATAGATAGATGGCGAGAGATAGTATTTATGAAGAAAGAAAAAGAATAAAGTCCCAAGAGTAGAAGTGGGCTAGTGAATTTAGGAAAGGCCCAAAGCCTATCAAGACTGAGTCACAGGTGTATAGCTCTGTATAAGATATTTACACAGCGCCGGGCGTTGGTGGTGCACGCTTTTAATCCCAGCACTCGGGAGGCAGAGGCAGGGGGATCTCTGTGAGTTCAAGACCAGCCTGGACTACCAAGCGAGTTCCAGGACAGCCTCCAAAGCCACAGAGAAACCCTGTCTCAAAACAACAACAACAACAACAAAAATTTACACAGCACCTGCCTCTCCTTTAGAAGGCACAGACCTTTTTTGAGCATGCTCTGTTTATTACATGATGCCCACGTGAGGAAGGGCTTCTTGTTTTTCCTCTTTTACACTTTTTGGAAATGTGAAAAATAAACATGTTTATGAGATACCAGAGGTCATGTTGTTCTCAGGCTGTGCAGAGACAGGCTTAAAAGCACAGCTGGAAAGCAACTACCACCCAAACTGGCTCATCAATCCTGTCTATTGCATGAAGCTGATGAGAATGCCTACTTGGCTTCTCTGATGCTTAAACATGGTTACTAGAGGGGAAAATCCCCTTAACTTAAATATGTCTGGTTAAACCTGCTACTTTGCATCCTTGGGGTGCTACAGTGGTGTGGTACACGGGGCAAGAATCCCACTTCTTGTGTGGAGGCAGAGGAACCATGTGGGTCTCCCTCAGGCACCATCTACCTGTAAGGCCTGGATGTATGTGCCACGTTTGCATGCAGAAGCCCACAGAGGCCAGAGGAGGATGTTGGATCCCCTGGAATTAGAGTTACAGGCTGTTAGGATTCACCATGAGGGTGCTGGGAACCAAACAAAGGTTCTTGCGAGAATTCTTAGCTGCTGAGCCATGTCTCCAGCCTTCTACCTTGTTGTTGTTGAGACAGAGTCTTTCACTGGCCCGGGAACTTGCCAAGGAGGAGAGGTTGGCTGGCCATTGAGCCTCGGGGACCTTCCTGTCTCAGCCTGCCCAGCAGTGCGTCACAAGCATGCACCATGGCTGGCCTGTTTCCCATATGTCCTGGGGGTCAAGCTGGGGTCCTTGTGATTTCTCAGTGGGCACTTTATACAACCAGGTATCTCTACAACCCTGAAAAATTTTCTCTTTTAAAGCCCCTGGCTAAGTTAAAAACAGGTGTTGGCTCCAAAAAAAATCTTTTAAAGTACATTGTGGTATTCCTTTCACTACTCAGTTTTCAAAAGACTCAGAAATCTACTATAGAAATGACTAGAGGAGGAACTGCCCAACCCGATGGTTAACTGTGATTCTACTTCATCTCTTCTGTTCTTCACAGAGGAGCCCGGATTTGGACAGCAAGGAATTTACTTGATTTCTCTACTGGTAACATTCATCTGCTTCCCGTCACAAAGAGACACTCCTATCTCTGTCCCTGAATGAAAGAACCCCGACTGTCCCTCCAGCCGCAAACCTCTATTATTCTGAAATGTCAAAAACATAGTTTTCTTCTCACACGATTCAGTGTCTCCCTTTTCCGTGTGCAGGGGAGTCCTATGGACTCTTCCCCGAGTTGTTCAAGGCCATTTTTTCTCCTGAATCTTTTCTCTCACATCACATCCCCCCCCCCCCACACACACACACACACGCACGCGCACACGCATGCGCACACACATACACACATGCACGTGCACACACAAAGGCTCAGTTATGGAAGCTTCTCTAAGTGTCCTTACACAATTGCAGATATGAACAAAAGAACTCTGTGAGGAGCTCATCAAAAGAGGTGGGTTTGCCTCAAAGAGCTTCTTACACGGGGAGATAGAAGGTTCTAGCTACGGGATAGCAGGATCAGAATGACCTCTTTAGTTAGTGCCTTGGTAGAGTTTTGTGAAACGATTCCCTGTTTGTATCACTCAGTGTTCCTATGGCCAGTGCTGGCCTGAATGAAGTTTGAAATTTAAAAAAAATAAATAAATAAAGTTATGTGTGAGCCGGCCCCAGATTTTCTTCACCATTTCTCTCTCAGTGAATGCAAGAAAGAAAACATTTTAATGGAGTGCCTAGGCCTAATTTGTTCTCATCCCTCATAAACAAAACAACTAGGTGCTAGCTACCCTCCATCTAATGAATATTCCCGAAAATCAGATGATGTTGATTCTAATAGCAAAGAGACACTTCACAAAGAACCCTTGTTCTGGAAATGAGGTCATCTGGACAGCCTATCCATTAAGAAAAAGCCTATTCTGCCTTCAGAGGTCACCTATTGGGGCAGGAAATCTTTCAGCCAGCGAACTAACATCTGGCCCAAGTCTTCCAGGCTGAAATGCCAGTTTCCTGATCTAAATGGAACACACATGGGGGGGGAGTATCTCCATTTGCAAGCATTCTTCACTGAAGCCTAGATGAGGAACCTCAGAAAAAGAGCTGTGTTTTGTACATCAACAGAAACAGAACCCGCCAAATACTTGTATGAAATTTGCATGTCTTTCCTCAGCAACTCCTAAGAGCAGCGAGACAAATTAATCACTCACTAGTAAATCCGTAAATAAACTTGCTTTAGCCGATCACCATTTATACTGAGTCATTCCAGACTGGGCAAGAATTTGCTTTTTTCATTTGTTTGTTCAGTTTGGGCGCGGCAGACTGAATCCAGGGCCTCGGGCTGGCTAAGCACATGTCCTACCTTCCCGCTACAGCTTTATTCCCACGGTTTACTTTTGTACTATGAGAAGGGGTGTGGCAGCGGTTGGGTGCGGGGGAGGGGGGAGGGAGGGGAGGTGAGGGGGGGGGGAAGGACAGGACACACTACCTCAAAGCAACAGGACCAAACTTGAAGGAAAGAATTGAGAGGATGTAGTCAAAGATGGCCTTGAACCACCAATTCTCCAGCTTCTACCTCCCAAGAGAAGAGATTATAGGTATGTGCCACACTTAGCTTTAGAAGGAGACTTAGACTGGAAAGAAAGAGAAAAAAACCTTTAGTACTTGGTGGTAGCTCTATATGTTCTATAAAATAGAATGGTTAGTCCATTAAAAAAATGCAGGTATTGTGTTCTCCCTCCCTCCATTCCTTCCTTGTGTTTTTTCAGTGCTATAGGTATATCCTAGACAAGTGCTCTACCACTAAACGGCTTGCCCTGTCCTGAAATGTACGCATTGCTGATGCCACTAAATCGTTCCAAAGTTTTCTACCCAGACACCAAACTGTATCTTCAAAAAGCTGCCAATGGAAGGTGACTGACACAAGGAAAATCATAATTGTTCATTACTGCAAGATTCAAAAATTTGGTAGGATGTGAAGAAAACTACGCAAGTTTCGCATCCGTCCACACAGCATTTGTAATTGTGGCCATTTATCCTTGCAAGTGATTGAAACAAAATCAGAAGCTCCACACAGAGGTAAACTATGAAACTGTATGTGCTGTTGAAAGTTTGGAAAGAAACAACCCACTTTGTAGCTGAAGAATGATCAATCAATGATGACACCATGCCTTGAAGGCTTAATACTTACAGATTAAGATGTTAATAGAAGCACATGTTTAGAGTGTGGCACAGTAGCCTCTGTCGGGAAATACTCCTCAGAAATAAAGACTGCATGTCGTAAGCACACAGGTGAGACAAGCTCACAAACATCCTACATCAGTGTTCACAACAGTGTAGCAGGAGATCAGTATTTCTTTTGAACAAAGAAGGGAATATAAGATGGAAACTGTTGATGTATAAGATGGTGAATTAAATTATTTTTGAAAAATTGTCAGTGCTCTAACTATGCTTACTTAAACAAACACTGTGAGTGTCAGCAACTAACATTTATCTAGCATTAACTCTCTGCAGCATTTGCAAATACTGCAGGAATGGCCATGGCAGATAGCTCTCAAATGGAAACTAAACCCATCCAACAACAGCAGGCCAAAACCATTAGGAGTCCTCTGTCCCCTTAAGTCTTCTCAGTGTGGCCTCACAGCTCCTCAATAACAACAAATACTCAGAAACCACATCTTTTGATCCATGCATGGAGTTTCACTTTCTTGGTTTTCAGATCTGATGATTAACATGGTGTCACAGGCAACCAAGAACTGTATATTGGAGTGAGTATTACCATTGCCTAGCTTTGTAGATGCCAATGCAATTACGTGTCTGCATCCAAGACAACCATTGAACCTCTGGACAGTAGTTTCCTACTAGAATTTCTTGGATACAGAGTCTACCTTCTTTACTGTTCACTGCTAGGTTTCCACCAAGAGGTATTATTTTTAAGCCATTGGCTGCTTCCCCTGACTCCTCCCCTTTGTGGCTGACTTGGAATCCATTGAAACTCAGCCAAGTTCTGTGTCTGGTCAACACTGTATTCCGGGAGGCATGAATGGCAGCATTTTGAAGCACTCTCACCTCCAGATTCTTTGGCTTCACTGTTAAACAGCCTAGCTTGATCTCTCATGTCCATACCAACTGTAGATACAGGCCTGGTCCCATGATTCTGTAACTCCTGATTGTTTGGGGGACTGAGGTTCCAGTTAAGAGGTCAAACCCTCTACCTGCATGCTACCAACAGAAGGAGGTCGATTTCACTTGAGGACATTTGTAATCTATGGAAGAAAACCATCAAGCCATCTAATAAACATGTATCAAGCACCACCACTCTTTGGATCTACACAATAAGATAACTCACATTTAGTGTCAAGAGACGAAAGATATAAGAGTCTAACTGCAAACTCTGCCCATCATTCCCTGGGAGCTTTCTGCTAATCATAATTTCATTCTGGCAAGCCAATAATCTGGACACCATGCCTTGAAATAGGCTGGGGCTGTGGTCCACTCAACGTCAATAACACCATGACTTATATCATCTGTGTGCTGTGTACCCATTTAATTTGTTCCTGGCGGGAATACATGAACTTTTATTTCTGCTATTATCCTCATATCCTGTCTAGACTGAAAACAACTTCTGAGCAACTCCCTTCAAGTTCAGTGAATTAAAAAAAACCAAGAGGTCAGCCAGCCCAATGCTGCCCATGCTAAGACTCTGGTGGGTCCCTCAGACTGCTTCATTGGAACTGCCAGGATCCAAGAAGAAACATGGAAGCTACATCTAACTGCTTCCAAAACCCGGTTAAGGGTAAAACTCAGGCTTCTGTACATACTGACTCCACTAAGTCATCTGAACAAGTGTTGGAAGTTTTAGGTAGAAGCCACATTTGGACTTGGTTTTGATGCTGGTTTGAAAGCCTCAGGGCTCCAGGACATGAGAACAGAGGGATTATTGTGTCCCCAGAGCTGAGAGGGGAAGCACCCACTGGGCCACAGCACATGGATTCAGAAAGGGTGAAATGGCCAGGATGCTGCTGGCAGGCTACTTTGAGTTTTGAGATTTTTGTCGGGGCAAGAACACTGATTCAACATGGTAAGAAAACCTTTTAGCTTATTAAACCTTTTCTCTCCAACATCAGCACCGTGTCTTTAGTTCAAGAGGAGGGACGAGAAAGGGAAGGTGGAAACAGAATATACTTCCTTCTCCCAAGCACCTAGGTGTTCACAGGAAATGTACATAGTTTCTTTTTTTAGGGTCCTGGATATCAAACCCAGGGACTTAGGGTTCAAAGTCATGTAAAAGTGATCAAATGTAAGGTTTTTTGCATCAGAAAAAAAAGATGCTGCCATTCTAAGAATTTTCCAAAACTCTAAGAAAGAGGCTGAATACATGGACTTTGGTTTCAACCAGACTGAGTTGCATTCAGAGCCAGTTAATCTCTGACATTTCTTTCTTCATGGTCAAAGTGGAGCTGGTAATCATGTTGATGCCACAGTATTGATATAATGGGTTAGTAAGGTCAAGTGCAAATATTGCGTAAGTGGCTCACAGTAAATGATCAATAAAAGTATACTAGCTTGCCTTATTTATTTATTTATTGAAATGGGGTCTCACTTTATAGCTCAGGCTGGCTTGGAGCTCATTATATAGCTAAGGCTGGCCTCAATGTCTTCCTCTTTAGTCCACCACCTCCTCACAAGATCTAGGATTTCAGGGGCTGGAGAGATGGCTCAGAGGTTAAGAGCACTGACTGCTCTTCCAGAGGTCCTGAGTTCAATTCCCAGCAACCACATGGTGGCTCACAACCATCCATAATGAGATCTGGTGCCCTCTCCTGTGTTGTAGTCATAATAATAATAAAAAAAAAAGATCTAGGATTTCAGGCATTGCCACATTGACAAGGACATCTACTTTGGAGAAATTATCTCCCAGAAAAAAAGCACTTAATATTAATATCTAGCTCCAGACACAAAGCATGACTCCGTAAGTGATCACAGTGGTACCCTCACTTCCAATTGATAACAATGACAAATAGTGGTCCACTTACCCCCATGAAGGTTTGCAGATCACTGTCTGTCTTAAAAAATAATTTAGGGGGTAAGGTACAGCCTGTTGGTAGAGCACTTCTCTAATATGCCTGAACCCGTACGTTTGATTCAATAACCTAAAAAGAAAATCATATACCCTATTACCATGAACACTCTTGCTACTTAAAAGAGAAAAGTGTATTCTATGCCCACCTTCTCTTTCCTGTCCCCCCTTTGAGCTTGAAGACACCGTGATGATGCTAGCTGGAGGAGAAAGGAGAAAATCCATCATAGTCCAAACTTTTGTTTGAGGAACTAAAATGAAAACATATGCCACTTTGATTACAGGAAAATAACCGTGAATGTCTGAGAAATAACTCTCAGACATCAGGCACATGATAACACACTCAGCGGGATCAGTAAATTCCGCATTACCATATAAATTGTCTTCAAGTCTGATCTACTAGGATATGATTAATAATTGGGATTTGTTTTCTTCCAAGGAGCTGAATGACTGGAAGAAACCCGACAGAATGTCAAAGTCCATTCCTAAATTCATCCAGTGGTTTTTTTTTTTTCTTTTGCTCTGTATAAACAAAAATATTGTAACCAGTGTGCAGGGTGCCATTGGTTGCCGAGTGAGGAACAGTGTGG